TGAGGCAGGAGAATCGCTTGAACCCAGGAGGCGGAGGTTGCAGTGAGCCGAGATTGCGCCACTGCACTCCAGCCTGGGCAACAGAGTGAGGCTCCATCTCAAAAAAAAAGAAAAAAAAGGAAAAGAAAAATTGTACTTCTCAGCTTAAAGAAATGTTGACCCTTCTGAATAAAAAATGGCATTTAAAAAACCCCAAACCAGTGATAACATATGTACATAAATGATACAAACATATGAAGGCTAGCACTCAACAATCTAGCAGAGAAGTGAGGAGAAGAGTTGAAAGTCTATCTGCACACTGTCACCATGTTCACTGCAGTCATCTTCCTCAAATGTGAAACCTGATCTCATTACTCCTCTGCTGAAAAACTTTCCGATAGTTTCCGCTTAGGAGAAAGGGGTCTTTTTCTCTCTCTCTCTCCAGCCCTGTCTCTTGCCAATCCCTGCCTTCCTCCATAGTTAATCTTCTTTCTACCATTCCTCCTGTGAGAAACAGTTTAAATGGTCCATTTGCAAGGCATGAAAAATCTAAGTACTGGCAGCCAGCCTTGCAGACGTGACAAACCACACGACTCAGGCACCTAGAAAGTCACGCTTAGCGAACAGGAAGTAGAGGAGGGGTCAGCCCATAAAAGGGGGCCAGGCGTGATGGCTCACTCCTGTAATCCCAGCACTTTGGGAGGCCAACGTGGGTGGATCACCTGAGGTCAGAAGTTTGAGACCAGCCTGGCCAACGTAGTGAAACTCTGTCTCTACTAAAAATACCAAAAAAAAAAAAAAAAAAAAAAAATTAGCCAGGAGTGGTGACGTGCGTCTGTAATCCCAGCTACTTGGGAGGCTGAGGCAGGAGAATTGCTTGAACCCAGGAGGCAGAGGTTGCAGTGAGCCGAGATCGCACCACTGCACTCCAGCCTGGGCGACAAGAGCAAAACTTGAGTGGGGAAGGGGACGCAGTATGATCTTATAAGGGGATAATGAAACTTAGGTGACACCCAGGAAGATTGTAACCCCACAGTACTCAACCAATGAGGAACTGGGAGAGGGGTTTGCCCACTAGGAGATAAATGACCTGCTGTGACTGCCCCAGCTGCCTGCCTACCAGTCACCGGATCTTGCAAAACTGCCATTAAAAGTCTCATTTCCACTGTTCTTTGTGTCTAAGTCTATGTGCCCACCCTAGGGGCAGAGATTTGTCCTGTACTTTCTCTGGTGTACCGCTTGTGACATTAGAATATGTAATTACTGTTTGTTCACTTCCTTCATGAAAAGGTAAGTGCCCAAATAGAACAGATCTTTTTTTTGAGACGGAGTCTTGCTCTGTCTCCCAGGCTGGAGTGCAATGGCGCGATCTCGGCTCACTGCAACCTCTGCCTTCCGGGTTCCAGCGATTCTTCTGCCTCAGCCTCCTGAGTAGCTGGGATTACAGGCATGTGCCACCATGCCCAGATACTTTTTTATATTTTTAGTAGATACAGGGTTTCACCATGTTGGCCAGACTGATCTCGAACTCCTTACCTCAAGTGATCCACCTGCCTTGGCCTCCCAAAGTGCTGGGATTACAGGCATGAGCCACACTGCACCCAACCCTCTAGAACAGACCATTTTCTATCTGATTTGTTGTTTGTAATCCCGATACCCAGCATCACACCTGGAAATGGTATGTGGCTGACTGGCGTTTGCTAATTGTTGAACTTGGGCAATTACATATGGCAAATAATTATATGGAAAATATAAAGGCTTACAAGTAAACTAAGGAATATAACTTAAGACAATTTAAAATAAATCTATTAGACTGCAAAAACAAAATGTATTTTTAGAAAATCAATGTGGAAATTCTGTTTTAGGACATGGTAGACTAGACTATACTGGACAAACCTTCCTGCTGAGAACAGTCATATCAGCTGGACACAATATTAACATTATCTGTTGAAGGTGCTGAAGAGCCAAGTCACAGAATTTTCAGGGCCAACATCAGGGCAAAGGGGAACAGTCAAAGAGAATGAGCTTAGTGCCACATTAATGCTCAAGAGCCAATTCCAAAAGTGGTGGCTGAGAAGCTGAAGGGAACTTTAGGCAACCTCATGGGCACTAGGGGGACAAAAATTTGTGTTCAAAGCCCTCCAAGGAGGTGGGCCCCTGGTAAATACTCCAGATTTTCCTTGGGTTTTCTGAAGAGCTACTAAAAGAACACATAATAGAAGTGCTAGAAGGAGAGGCGATAGAAAAAGGAATGGAGAAAAATACTTGAAGGATAATGGCTGAAAACTTCCAAGATTTGATTTAAAACATTCATCTATATATTCAAGAAGCTTGACAAGCTCCAAGCAGGATAAATGCAAACATATTCACACCCAGACACATCATAGTAAAAATACTGAAAGAAAGTGAAAATCCTGAAAGCAGGAAGAGAAAAATGACTCATGACAGACAAAGGAATCCCAATAAGATGAACAGCTGACTTTTCATCATAAACAATGGAGGCCAGTAGGCAGGCAGGAGACATATTCAAAGTTCTGGGGTAGACCAGGCATGGTGGCTCACACCTGTAATCTCAGCACTTTGGGAGGCTGAGGAGGCTCAAGTGTGAGCTCAGGAGTTCAAGACCAGCCTGGCCAATATTGTGAAACCCCGCCTCTACTAAAAATTAGCTGGGCATGGTAGCAGGCACCTGTAATCCCACCTACTCGGGAGGCTGTGGCAGGAGAATCACTCACTTGAATCCAGGAAGCAGAGGTTGCAGTGAGCCAAGATCCAGCCACTGCACTCCAGCCTGGGCAATAGGGCGAGACTTCCCTCTCAAAAAAAAAAAAAAAAAAAAGATGTTCTGGGGTAGTGGGGGGAAAAAAACACCAAAACTGTCAACCAATAATTTTATACCCAACAAAACTATCTTTCAAAATTGCAGGTGAAATAAAGACATATCAAGAGAAAGAAAAAACTGACTTTGTTGCCAGTAGATCTGCCTTACACGAAACATGAAAAGAAGTTGCATACATGAATACATTAACTTCCTGAAGGAAGTTCTTCAGGCTGAAAGGAAGTAACACCAGAGGGTAATTCAAATTCACATAAAAACAAAGAGCACCAATAAAGGTAATCACGTAGGCAAATACAAAAGACAGTATCGTCATATATTTCTTGTCCTTGATTCTAATTAGAATAAAATACAATAGCATAAGATAACATCTATAAGATTGTAGTTTGGGCTATAACATGTAGAAATGTAATATATTTGACTATAACAACATGAAGGAAATGGAGGTGAGAATGAAGCATACTGGAGAAAGAAAATGACACCAAGCCCAGGCACAGTGCCCCACACCTGTAATTGCAGCACTTTGGGAGGCCGAGGCAGTAGGATTGCTTGAGATCATGAGTTCAAGACCAACCTGGTCAACATAGTGAGACCCCACCACAAAAAAGAAAGAGAGAAAGGAAGAAAGAGGGAGGGAAGGAATGAAACCAGAAAGCAAATCAATTCTTTTCTTTTTTTTTTTTTTTGGAGATGGAACTTCTTTCTTATTGCCCAGGGTGGAGTGCAATGGTGCAATCTCGGCTCACTGCAACCTCTGCCTCCTGGGTTCAAGCAATTCTCCTGCCCCAGCCTCCCAAATAGCTGGGATTACAGGTGCGCATCACCACTCCTGGCTAATTTTTTGTATTTAGTAGACACGCTGTTTCACCACGTTGGTCGGGTTGGTCTCCACCTCCTGAACTTAAGTAATCTGTCCACCTCGGCCTCCCAAAGTGCTGAGATTACAGGCATGAGCCACAACAGCAAATCAATTCTAAAGGAAGACATGAAAGGAACCAGAAATGGTAACTAAGAAGGTCAACAAGCTTAAAAAAAAAAATTTTTGGCCGGGCGCGGTGGCTCAAGCCTGTAATCCCAGCACTTTGGGAGGCCGAGACGGGCGGATCACGAGGTCAGGAGATCGAGACCATCCTGGCTGACACGGTGAAACCCCGTCTCTACTAAAAAATACAAAAAAAAAACTAGCCGGGCGAGGTGGCGGGCGCCTGTAGTCCCAGCTACTCGGGAGGCTGAGGCAGGAGAATGGCGTGAACCCGGGAGGCGGAGCTTGCAGTGAGCTGAGATCCGGTCACTGCACTCCAGCCTGGGCGGCAGAGCAAGACTCCGTCTCAAAAAAAAAAAAAAATTTTTGTGCTCTCCTTTCTACTCTGCAAGACATGGATTATATAAAGCAGTAATTATAACAATGTATTATTGGGTCTGTAACATGTATGTTTATAATAAAATTAATATTTATAACAATTACTACAATCTTCATAACAAAAGTAGCACAAAAAAGAGAGAAGAAATAGAGCTAGACTGGCAAGAAAGAACATGATATACAGGATGGAAGATGGAAGATCCTTACAGCACTTTATGTGCGAGAATACATCTTAGATGGATTAAAATGTTAAACCAAAAAAGGTTTTCACACCCAAGGGCTGAAATGAAAAGGGCTGTTAATTTATAATCTCTCAATTGACTCAAGAAATTCAGGCCGGGTGCAATGGCTGACGCCTGTAATCCCAGCACTTTGGGAGGCTGAGGCAGGCAGATCACTTGAGACCAGGAGCTCGAGACCAGCCTGGCCAACAGGGTGAAACCCCATCTTTACTAAAAATATAAAAATTAGCCGGGCATGGTAGCACATGCCTGTAGCCCGAACTGTAGGCGCAGGCATAAGAATTGCTTGAATCCGGGAGGTGGAGGATGCAGTGAGCTGAGATCACACCACTGCACTCCAGCCTGGGTGACAGAGCGAGACTCTGTCCCCGCCAAAAAAGAAATTCAATCATTCCGAAAATCTTGGCTGGTGAGGGAAGTGGGACTTAGTTGTACTTTGAGTAGATGGTTAGAGTAGAAGGATTGAGCTAAGTTCAACCCTTCAGAAACGAGGGCTGAACACTAAATCTAAATGCTGCCAGCACAGCTAACAGCCTAGTGGGGCCTTAACCATTCCTGGGGGTGGGGGATCCAGGAGAGACTCAGTCTCAGGACCTTTTTTTTTTTTTTTTTTGAGACGGAATCTTGCTCTATCGCCCAGGTTGGAGTGCAGTGGCGCCATCTCGGCTCACTGCAAGCCCCACCTCCTGGGATCACATCATTCTCCTGCCTCAGCCTCCCAAGTAGCTGGGCTACAGGTGCCCGCCACCACGTCCGGGGCTAATTTTTTTGTATTTTTAGTGGAGACGAGGTTTCACCGTGTTAGCCAGGATGGTCTCAATCTCCTGACTGCCCGCCTTGGCCTCCCAAAGTGCTGGGATTACAGGCGTGAGCCACTGCGCCCAGCCAGCCTCAGGACTTTTAATGGAAGGCCACAGTGTGGTCTAGGCTTGTGACCCTACTGCTCTGACCACTTGCCCTGGTTCAGGTTTCCATCCTTACCCTGGGGACGGGCAGAGCCGGGGATCTATACGCAGCCGCAACTTGGCCAGCTCTTCTGCAGAGGCCCTTGGCGTCTGCAAGACGGTTGAAGGGCCCGAGATGACAGACAGCTCCGACTCTCCTGACTCCTCCACCTCAGACTCCAGAGATCCTTCGACCTCTTCAGTGATCCCTCCAACAATGTCTTTGATGACATCTTCGCCGACCTCTTCAGGAGATTCCTCAACTAATAATTCTGAGCTGGGAGAGGGCTTGACGATCTGCAGGAAGACAGAAACTCGTCCAAGGCTGCCGTCCTCAGGACACGCTCAGCTGATGCCCGGGGGTGTCTGTAACACGGCTCCCGACACCTGGATGAGGTTCGCGCATGCGCAGACACAGCACGCCAGGAGGCAGGAAGGCTCTTAGAAACCCAGTTTTGTTTTTTCTGAGAGACCTATGTTAAGAGTAAAAGCAAGAACCACTTCTACGTGGGAGCAGGAGACAGGCGTCATCACATTTCCCCTAGTCGGATGGTATCCTTGGGTTTTCTTCTGATGTGGAGGGAGATGGGAGGAGTTGTAGAAATTGCAGAATGGGGCTGGGTGCAGTGGCTCACGCCTGTAATCCCAGCACTTCGGGAGGCTGAGGATCACTTGAGCTCAGGAGTTTCAGACCAGCCTGGTCAACAAGGTGAAGCCTCATCTCTACTAAAAATACAAAAATTAGCTGGGCGTAGTGGTGGGCACCTGTAATCTCAGCTACTGGGGAGGCTGAGGCAGGAGAATCGCTTGAAGCCGGGAGGCAGAGGTTGCAGTGAGCTGAGATCGCACCAGTGCACTCCAGTGAGACTCCGCCTCAATAAATAAAGGAATTAATTAAAAGGATTTTCCTGGGGCCCACGAAGCGGTTCAGCCTTCACAAGAGCCTCCCACACTCCCAGGGACAGCCCAGGGCACACCTCGGCCAGCTCGCCTGTGTCCTCATCTGCTTCACCTTCTTCGTCTCTCACAAAATCGTACGTCACGTAATAGCTATAAGCGACGAAAGGGCCTTCGGGCCCGGGTTCCGGGTCTAGGACAGAGGTGTCCAGGACTCCTCTGATGTTTCCGATGGTCACCACAAACTGCGCCTCCTGTGCCAAGAGATCTGCAGAGAGGAATGGGCAGGACAGGGGGCCCCGTGGAATGGAAGTTGGCAGACAGAAAACAAGAGGGCTGGGAAGGCACAGGGCCCTGGATTCTCTCCAGCACTCAGGGCTGAGCCTTGGTGAGGCAGTCAGGTTCAGGCCACCGCTCCGGCAAGCTGGCCTGGAGTGATCTGGGTGTCATTATACCCCTCTTCAGCGTGTCTTCCTGATCTGTATATGGGAGTGATAAGGGCTGCTCTGCAGAAGGTCACCTTAGTATTATCTAGCACGTCACAGTGACCTGAAGAAACCTCCAGTGCACCTTGCAGCATGAACCACAAGGGGGTGATCTCCAGCCACCAGGGAGGTGAAGAAGCTGATTGAAATAACTGTCCCAAGTCCCTACAGGTTTTTTATTTTTCATTTTTTTAGAGACAGGGTCTCGCTCTGTGGCCAGGCTAGAGTGCAGTGGTGAGATGATAGCTCACTGCAGCCTCCACCTCCTGGGCTCAAGTGATCCTCCCGCACCACCTCTTTTTTTTTTTTTGTCTCGCTCTGTTGCCTAGGCTGGAGTACACTGGTGTCATCTTGGCTCACTGCAACCTCCACCTCCTGGGTTCAAGAGATTCTCATGCCTCAGCCTCCCGAGTAGCTGGGATTACAGGCACTTGCCACCATGCCCGGCTAATTTTTGTATTTTTAGCAGAGATGAGGTTTTCACCATGTTGGCCAGGCTGGTCTCAAACTCCTGACTTCAAGCGATCTGCCTGCTTCAGCCTCCCAAAGTGCTGGGATTACAGGCGCGAGTCACCGCACCCAGCCTTCCCCTCTCATTTCTGTCTCCAAATCCCAATCACGGAATCAAAGCCTGGCGGAAAACTCTGGCCCAGAAGAGAGGCTGTACCTGACTAGGGTCTGGGTCAAGTGGGGAGTTGCAGGACAGAGGGGTGTGCGGACCCAGGAGGGCGGGGCACAGCCAGGCGGAGGCTGGGGTGTCACGCGCCACCCCCTCCCTGCCTGCCAGCACCCTCACCGCCATTGAGGCTGAGCCCCCGGAAGAGATGCTTCTCGTTGGGAGACACGGTGATGTCGTCCAGCACGCAGAGCTGGGCCAGGCTGTCGATGGTGAGGCCGCGGTAGTAGGGCACCAAGGCCAGTGGGTTTCCCTGCAGCACCAGGAGTCGCAGGTGCCGGAGGGTCCTCAGGCTGGCAACCATGCTCTGCAGGTCTGTCAGGTCATTGAAGCCCAGGTCCAGGGAGACGAGGTTGGGCCTGGAAGGTAAGCAGGACCGTCTGAGGGTCAAGAAGCCAGGTGAGCAGGGGACAAGCAGCCCTGCAGCCAAACCAACGGTGGGCCTGGGCCTAAGGACTCTGCACACCCATGGCCTGCACACCCTGTCCTACCCTTGACCCAAGTTAACCCCGGGTCGGGAATGACTGCCTGGCTCTTCGTCTCCACTCTCCATAGCACTGCCGCCCTCAGTCAGAGCCACAGAGACGCCCCCACCGACCTCCCCTCGCGGGACTCCTCTCTTCTTGGCCAAACCTCTCAGTAGCTTCCGTAGAGCTTTGCACACTGCGTGCGTCTAGGAGGCTCTGCACAAATACTACGGGCAGACTGGATGGCACAGCAGGGGACAGCCACCGTGGGGGAGCTGTGGACAGGGGCAGGAGTGGACAGGGCAGGAGTGGGGTTGACGCTGGGGACTGGGAGGAGGGAGCCAGAGGCTGGAGGGCTGGGCATCCTAGAAGCAGGAGATGGCGTCTCAAAGGCAGACTGGGGCAGGACCCCAGGAGGCAAGGGGGCTGGGAGGGGCCTGCAAAGGGCATGGGCCGAGGCCTGTGGCCAGACCAAGACACAGGGCAGGGGCAGGGTGAATTTCCTGCTGCCACAAACTAGAAAGCGACTTGATCTCAGCTCTGAGAACAGACGAAAAACACAAGAAGCGGCCGCTGCCAGCACAGCGTCCCCCAATCCTAGCCTCACTCTTCCCCTAAGAGCAGAGGAGAAGAGGAGGAAGAGGAAAGCAGGGTCCGAGAGGGGCTTCCCTTCCCTGCTGCATCCGCTGCTCCAGGCATGCAGACGGTTGGACCCCCCAAGGGCGTGCCCTCCAGGTTCCTTGGGGGAAGGAAAGCGGGGAGGCGGTTCTACCCCTTCCGTCCTTGCTGGACTGCTGAAGTCCTGGGACTTCCCACAGCATGCTTTGCAAAGCCTTCCTCTCCCAGCTTCCTTTGATGGCCTTTTCTGGGTGGTCTCTGGTCCCCCTCCTACCCCTCAGGTCCAGGATGTTAAGTTTTCTGCCGCTTACCCACGGAGGAAACCAAGCTGAGTATCAACTGGGAGCTGAACTGTCTGCAGGCTCCTAATGAGCCTGAACCTTCAACAGCGATGGAGCGGCTGGCGCTAGGAGGGCTTGGTTCCAGGGCAGTGGTTCTCAGCTTGGGGGATTTTGCTGCTCAGGGGACATTAGGTACTGTCTGGAGACATTTTTGTTTGTCACAACTAGCAGGGAGGTGCCCCTGGCATCTGCAGATGCAGGCCAGGGATGCTGTTCAATATCCTACCATACCCAGGACAGCCCCACAGCAAAGAATGATGGGGCACCAATGCCAGCGAGCCCAAAGGGAGAAACCCTCCTCTAAAATATGGCACCAGGCAAAGTGCAGTGGCTCATGCTTGTAATCACAGCACTTTGGGAGGCTGAAGTAAGTGGATCACTTGAAGTCAGGAGTTCAAGACCAGCCTGGCCAACATGGTGAAACCCCATCTCTACTAAAAGTACAAAAATTAGCCAGGTGTGGTGGTGGGTGCCTGCAATACCCGCTACTTGGGAGGCTGAGGCAGGAGAATCGCTTGAACCTGGGAGGTAGAGGTTGCATAGTCGAGACAGCACACAGCACTCTAGCCTGGGCAAGAGGGAAACTCCATCTCAAAAAAAAAAAATTAAAAAAATTAAAATAAAAAAATTAAAAGACGGCACCAAAGCAAAGGCTTTCACACCCACCACCTCTTGTTCTCTGGGCTTTTTGTTTACAAAATCCCACTGAAGGGGGATTCAGAAAAATAAACCGTAAGTCTGGAGTTAGCAGCCAGCTGGGAGTTACAGAAAAGACCAAAGCTGAGCTCTCACGCCACCGCCACCGGGGTAAAATCGCCTCAGCCTGATACTTAATCCCTCCCTCTCGCTTTCCACCTGGGCTCCGGAGTTACCAGTGATCAGCGGTGACGTAGAGACTTTCCAAGGGGCCTAGAAGCTTGTTGTGGCCTAACCCCAGGTGCTGCAGGCTGGCGGGCGGGTGGGCGCACAGACACTCCATGCTGCTGATCTCATTGCCGTAGAGCTCCAGCACCTGGGAGACCACACGGAAGGCCCGGGACGATAGGGCGCCAAGTCAGCGCGGAGGATCAGGCCCCTCCCCTCCGTCCCGCAGAATTTAGTAGAGGAATCACAGATTACTCACACCCGGCCTCCCTGGCGCCACCCGGCCTCCCTTTAAAAAACCCAGGAAGAAAAGATTCCTGCAGCAGGTCTCTGGAAGTTTCTTTGCCTTTTGTGAAAGACCCTTCAATATCTGGAATGGGGGGTGATGTTGGATTGGCAGTGGGGATCTGCATAACATCTGGCACCTTCTCAACCCATAGGAATGTGTCCCTGGGAGGCCCAAAGGGCCCCTCGATGGATAAGGCAAAAATCCAAAGCTAACCTTCCTTGCTTGTAGTTCTCATCCACGGCCTCACACACCTTTTTTGTTGTTGTTTGCTTGCTGGTTTGGGCTTTTTAAATTTTTATTTATTTATTGTTTATTTGTTATTATTTTGAGGTGGAGTCTTGCTCTGTCGCCCAGGCTGGAGTGCGGTGGCACAATCTTGGCTCACTGCAACCTCTGCCTCCTGGGTTCAAGCGATTCTCCTGCCTCAGCCTCGAGAGTAGCTGGTATTACAGGCACCAGCCACCACGCCCAGCTAATTTTTGTATTTGTGTAGAGACGGGATATTCCCATGTTGCCCAGGCTGGTTTCAAATTTCTGAGAACAGGCAATCTGCCCACTTCAGCCTCCCAAAGTGCTGGGATTACAGGCGTGAGCCACCGCACCTGGCCTGTGCCACATTTTTTGTTTGTTTATCCGTTCATCTGTTTATAGACACTTGAGTTCTGTCCACCCTTCTGCTATTGTGAGTAAAGCAGCTCTGAACTCTGGAGTACAAGAATCTGGCTAAGTCCCTGTCTTCAGTTCCCTCATGGATACACCTAGGAATGGAAGCACTGGGTCATACGGTAATTCTATGTTAAACTTCTAGGAAAGTGCCCTATATTTTAAAAGCCTGGAGCTGGGCCCTACCCTCCACCCACACTGGCCACATCTATGTGGGGTAGGGTAGAGCAAGGCCTCTGGGCTGCGGTGGCCCAAATACTCCAAACAGACCAGGGCTCCTTCACCTTGAGTGTGGGGGGCAGATTGGTGGCATCCACCTCCTTGATTCGATTGGCGCTCAGTACCAACTCCTCCAGCTTTAGAAATTTCAGGAGGTCTTTATCCACCAGGGTGACCTGGAAGAGGGGAGAGGAAGTTGAGGGCTATAGCAGGCAAGGGAGCACAGGCACAGAACCCATGTCCACATTAGGAAGACAGCGGCTCCTGCATCAGTTACCTCCCCTCCCTCCCCACCCCCTGCTTCCCTGGAAGCCGTTCCCGCACTGCATTGTTCTGCCAAGATCCAAGAGCCTCTCCCAACCTCCATCCTTCTCTGACCATAGGCGGTGCGTGATTTCCAGGCCAATGACCTGTGTCCTTTGTTGGACCATAAGCCATCTGTGAGGGCAGGAACCTCTCTCCTTTCTGTCTGCCCCAGAGCCACAGTGAACTCTGGGCACTGCAGTCAGTCAAGGTGTCCAGGAATCACCCAGAGCAGGGTCTGACTAGAAGCTGCAGTGACCCATCCATGACTCCTCAGTTCCTGTGGCCTCAAAGACATCGGGACCCTTTCTAGCGGGGCCTCCCTTCTCCAGGGTCACCAACTGTGCCAGTCTGCCAAGGACGGAAGGGGTTCGTTCCCAGGACACGAAACCTTCTGCACTGAAACTGAAAGTCCCTGGCAAACTGCTACCAGTCACCCTATTTGTCCCCCAGTGCCGTGTCACTTCCCAGTGGCTCTGGAAAAAGAAAGCCAAGCCTGGGGAAGGCTGAGACCAAGTTTCCAGGCAATGTTTGGGCTGGCTTGCTGACTTTATTTATTCATTGAGACAGAGTCTCACTCTTGCTTGCTTGAGACAGGGTCTCATTCTGTCACCCAGGCTGGAGTGCAGCGGTGTGATCATGATCACTGCAGCCTCTACCTCCCCAGCTCAAGTGATTCTCCTGCCTCAGCCTCTGAGTAGCTGGGGTTACAGGCGTGCACCACTATACCTGGCTAAATTTTAAAATTTTATAGAGATGGGATCCCACTATGTTACCCAGGCTGGGTCTCTAACACCTAGACTCAAACGATCCTCCTGCCTCAGCCTCCCAAAGTGCTGAGATTACAAGCGCCAGAGAGCCACCGTGCCGAGCCTGGGCTCTGTTACTGATACAAACAAAAAATGGTTTTTGGTAACAAATTAAAATAGTTGGAACTACACCAACCATCCTCCACCCTGACTTCCATGGTTTAAATGAAGTAAAACTAACACAGACCCTTTGGAAAACCTTTACTAGAACCCAGGAGAGGCCACTGCAGAACTCAGCCGTGGAAGATGTGCCATGATGGCCTCCAGGGGTAAAGGAAGAAGAAACGCGAGGCTGACCGAGTAGCTGGCCCTGCCTGGCACACAAGCCAGGGAGATGAAGCAGAGGGCAGGCTGGCCTTGGCTTCAGCCCCCAGGGCAGGATCCCTGAGGCACTGTGGGGAAGGGTGCCCTCCCCCCAACCTCCCTTAGGGAAGCGGCCACCCTAGCATCACCCCCCTACGTGCCCAGCACTCACCTCCTTGTCTACCACCCGCAGGGACCGGAAGTAGGAGTAGAAGAAGGTGTCTGTGATCATCAGCGGGTTCCGGATGGCCAGTTCTCTCAGGAAACTGTCTTCAGCATTCGAGTCGTTCGGCAGAGCCCAGGGGGAGTGGGGGCTGCGGACCAGGCCCAGCAGGTCCTCCACCGTCTCCTCCCCGGGGCTCACCACATCCTCCTCTTTGGGGACCACCTCTCTCCATGTTCGCCAAGTTTGAGGAAGAAAGCGCGACTTATTCTGCAGTGGCAGAGGTGGGGATTTCTCTAGGTGTGACACAGCCCCCTTAAGGACACCAAATGCTCAAAACAGAACAGATCATAAAACTGGATGATTAGGGATCAAGTTTAGAAATCTAGAGAGTGGGCCGGGCACGGTGGCTCACGCCTGTAATCCCAGCACTTTGGGAGGACGAGCCAGGCGGATCATGAGGTCAGGAGATCGAGACCATCCTGGTTAACACGGTGAAACCCCGTCTCTACTAAAAATACAAAAAATGAGCCAGGCGTGGTGGTGGGTGCCTGTAGTCCCAGCTACTTGGGAGGCTGAGGCACGAGAATCATTTGAACCCGGGAGGTGAAGGTTGCAGTGAGCCGAGATCACACCACTGCACTCCAGGCTGGGTGGACAGAGTGAGACTCCATCTCAAAAAAAAAAAAAGAGAAAAAAGAAATTTAGATAGTAATCAATAATTTTGATGGATTATTAGCCATGGATATAACTACAGATGAGGTGAGATACAACATAATTAAAAGATCCCATTCCTTTTAAAAAGGCGGGCGGATCACTTGAGGTCAGGAGTTTGAGACTAGCCTGGGCAACATGGTGAAACTCTGTCTCTACTAAAAATACAATAATTAGCTGGGCATGGTGGCAGCTGCCTGTAATCTCCGTTACTCAGGAGGCGGAGGTTACAGTAAATCGAGATCGCGTCACTAAGCTCCAGCCTGGGCAATAGGCCTTCCTGGGCTACACCTGGGCTCCCTTCGCGGTTGAAGCCACGGAAGGGAAGGGTCTAGGACTCTGGAGACAGGTGGGATGCAGGGGTAACCCCTTCTCCTGGACCCAAGGTCACAGGCTTCAGGCTCAGAGCCACGTCTCACACTGCCTCAGGCTCTCATTAAATGCTCGGAGGCTGGGAAAAGTTGTGGCACTCTTTGCCCAAAACAAAAGCTTTTCACCCCAAAGGAACCTGCCCACTGGAAATCTGGGGTGTTGGCATCGAGTCAGGGAGAGGCCCCGACCTAGGTCAGCTGAGGTGCTCAGGACGGGCCCCGCTCTCCTCCCCCCCGGCAGTGCCCACGGCCCGGTCCCCACCTTCACCCTCGAGCCCCACCTGCCCCCACGTTGGCGGCCCCCAGAATGCGCAGATCCGAGGCCCCAGGGACCAGCCCGCCCCGCTCGCCCGGGCCCGTGCCTCCCCGCAGCCGGTCCAGGCCCCCAGAGTCCCAGCCCCGGCGCCCGCACCCAGCTGCCGGCGCCGCACGGGAACTCGCGCAGACACAGCTTCCGCAAGTGCTCGCGCACGGCCGCGCTCACGGTCCCGGTCCCGGGCCGCTGAGTGCCAGGCCAGGCCTCAGACTCGGACTCAGACTTGTAAGACGCCTCCATGGCCGGGCTGCGTTGCCAGGCAACCGCCAGGACGCGTGCGCGGGGGCCGGGGCCTCTCCAAGCGCGCTCACCTGCCCGGAGGAAAAAGCCCCCCATCCGGATCACAGACAACTCGGCCCCAACCACCTGGGTTTTCTCTTCTGCCCTCATCTACAAAAATGGGATAACAGCTGGTGGTTCTAAGTGCAGCAGCTACCGCAGGCCGTGAGCGCCGTAGCTGACCTGTTTCTTACCGCCTGTCAAGCACTCCCCACGGAAAGTCATCCTATACCCATCTGACAGCTGGAGAAAGGAGAAGAGGACCCAAGGTCAAACCTCTCGACTCCAGCCAGCCAGTGGGTTCCAGGGTGGGTCTCTCTAAGCCTGGAGTCAGGGGTTTCATACTGTCCACCTGTATAACTGTTAAAGCACCCAGTCCTCATTTTATGTTTTTAACTTTTTATTTATTTTATTTCATTGAGACAGAGTCTCACTCTGTCGCCCAGGCTGGAGTCCAGTGGCGAGATCTCGGCTCACTGCAATCTCAGTGTCCCGGGTTCCAGCGATTTTCCTGCCTCAGCCTCCCTAGTAGCTGGGATTACAGGCGCGCATGACCACTTCCGACTTTTTTATTTTTTAGACCGAGTTTCACTCTTGTTTTCCAGGCTGGAATGCAATGGCGCAATCTCGGCTCACTGCAACCTCCGCCTCCCAGATTCAACCGATTCTCCTGCCTCAGCCTCCCGAGTAGCTGGGATTATAGGCGCCTGCCACAACGCCCCGCTAATGTTTTGTATTTTTAGTACAGACAGGATTTCACCATGTTTGCCAGGCTAGTCTCGAACTCCTGACCTCAGGTGATCCACCGCCTCGGCCTCCCAATGTGCTGGGATTACAGACGTGAGCCACTGTGCCCGGTCTAACTTTTTGTATTTTAGTAGAGATGGAGTTTCACCATGTTGCCCAGGTTGGTCTCAAACTCCTGGGCTCAGGCAATCCACTGGCCTCAGCCTCCCAAAGTGTTGGGATTACAGGTGTGAACCACCACGCCCAGCCATGAAGCTTCTTTTATAAGGACATTAATCCCATTCCTGAGGAGCCCCCACACTTAATCACTTCCCAAAGGGCCCCACCTCTTAATACTATCACACTGGGCATCAGGTTCTGACAAATGAATTTCGGAAGAACACATTAACATCTCTCATTCTTTTTAACTATACGATATTGGGACAACTTTACTGTTATTAGAAAAATTAGGCTGGGTGGCTGGGAGCAGTGGCTTACCCTGTAATCCCAGCACTTTGGGAGGCCGAGGTGGGTAGATCACGAGGTTAGCAGATCAAGACCATCCTGGCTAACACGGTGAAACCCCATCTCTACTAAAAATATAAAAAATTATCTGGGTGTGCTGGCAGGCGCCTGTAGTCCCAGCTACTCCTGGGAGGCTGAGGCAGGAGAATGGCATGAGCCCGGGAGGTGGAGCTTGCAGTGAGTGGAGATCATGCTACTGCACTCCAGCCTGGGCGACAGAGCAAGACTCTGTCTCAAAAAAGAAAAAAAAAGAAAAATTAGGTTGGGCATGGTGGCTCATCCCTGTAAACCTAGCACTTTGGGAGGCTGAGGTGGGTGGATCACCTGAGGTCAGGAGTTCGAGACCAGCCTGGCAAACATGGTGAAATCCCGTCTCTACTAAAAATACAAAATTTAGCCAGGCATGGTGGCATGTGCCTATAAACCCAGCTACTTGGGAGGCCGAGGCAGGAGAATTGCTTGAACTCATGAGGCGGAGGTTGTAGTGAGCCAGAGGTTGTAGTGAGCTGAAGGTTGTAGTGAGCCAAGATCATGTCACTGCATTCCAGCCTGGGCAACAGAGCAAGACTGTCTCAAAAAAAAAAAAAAAAATTATCCAAAACAGGGAGTTAAGGCAAAAAGATGACCATGTGTCCTTTCGAAAAAGAAAATATCCTTTTTTTTGGGGGGGGGGACAGGGTCTCACTTTGTTACCCAGGCTACAGTGCAGTAGCGTGATCACAGGTCCCTGAAGCCTGGACCTCTTGAGCTGAAGTGGTCCTCCCACCTCAGCCTCCTGAGTAGCTGTGACTACAGGCATGCATCACAACGCCTGGCTGTTTTTGTATTTGTAGTAAAGACAGGGTTTCACCATGTTGCCCAGGCTGGTCTCGAACTTTTGACCTCAAGTGATCCACCCACCTCAGCCTCCCAAAGTGCTGAGATCACAGGCGTGAGCCACCATGCCTGGCTCTCAAAGAATAAAATAAATATCTTTGAGTCCATAGTGATATAAATAAATCAAGGAGATGAATCACAGACATGGCTCCTGCGATTTTAATGGAGCAACAGATGGACAATGTGCAGTGAAGGAAGAGAAGACTGAGAGGGGAAATCAAGCATCCTGTTTGGAACAAGTTAAGGTCCAGATGCCAATGGGCATCTACTCTGTCAAATCAGCCATTGGTTAGGAGTAAGAGCTCAGGAATGAGGTCAGGTCTGGGCGGACCACAGAACCCAAGATGCACAGAATGGGCCCAGCCAGGAAGTCCTTCCACCCTTCATCCCAAGTCCCCCTGCAGCCACCACTGTCTCTTATCTCTTCCTTCTCATCCAAGCTTCTTGACACAGTGATCTATGCTCACTTTTTCTTTTTCTTTTTTTTTTTTTTTGAGACGGAGTCTTGCTCTGTCGCCCAGGCTGGAATGTAGTGGTGCAATCTTGACTCACTGCAACCTCCACCTCCTGGGTTCAAGCAATTCTCCTGCCTTAGCCTCCTGAGTAGCTGGGATTACAGGCGCCCCGCCACCATGCCCAGCTAATTTTTGTATTTTTAGTAGAACGGGGTTTCACCATGTTTGCCAGGCTGATCTCGAACTCCTGACCTCAGGTGTTCCACCTGACTCAGCCTCCCAAAGTGCTGGGATGACAGGTGTGAGCCACCATGCCTGGCCTATGCTCACTTTTTCCTCACTTCCCAAACCACCACAATATAACTGCCACACCAACAATTTATTCAAACTCTCCCAGCAAAATTTCTGTGACCTCATGTTGCCCAATCTAGTGAATCTCCGCAGCCTTTATCTTATTTGACCTCTTCGTGGCTTTTGATGATGCCAACCATTTCCTCCTTCTTGAAAAACTACTTTTCATCTTATTCCATGACAGCATGTGTTTCTGGTTACTTTTCTTTCTCTCTCTCTCTTTTTTTTTTTTTTTTGAGATGGAGTCTCACTCTGTCACCGAGCTGGAGTTCAGTGGCGCGATCTCAGCTCACTGCAACCTCCACCTTCTGGGTTCAAGCAATTCTCCTGCCGCAGCCTCCCAAGTAGCTGGGACTACAGGCACATACCACCACACCTGGCTAATTTTTTGTGTTTTTAGTAGAGATGGGGTTTCACCATGTTGGCCAGGATGGTCTCGACCTTCTGACCTCGTGATCCGCCTGCCTTGGCCTCCCAAAGTGCTGGGATTACAGGTGTGAGCCACCGCGCCCAGCCTTCTTTTTCTCTTGAGAGTGCCTTCTCCATGTTCTAGATTAAATCATCTTCTCCTTGTCCTGTTAATGGAGGCATGTCCCAGGGCTCCATGCTTGACTTCCACACCTCACACTGCTCGTCTCTTACTGGCTTATAGTTTTATCTGCCACAATACCTTGATGGCACCCACATTTACGTCTGTAGTTCCCTCCTTCACGCTCCAGATGCACACGTCCGATGGCCTGCTGTATGTCTTCAGCTGAGCATCCATAACGCTTCCCATTCACTATGTCAAAAGCTGAATCAGGCCGGGTGTGTGGCTCGCACCTATAGTCCCAGCACTTTGGGAGGCCAAGGTGGGTGGATTGCTTGAGCCCCGGAGTTCAAGACCAGCCTAGGCAACAGAGCAAGATCTTAATTCTACAAAAAGTTAAAATTCAAAAGTTAGCCAGGCATGGTGGTGTGCTGTGTGCCTGTAGCCCCAGCTACTCAGGAGGCTGAGGCAGAAGGATCTCTTGAGCCTAGGAGTTTGAGGCTGCAGTGAGCTGTGATCACACCACTGCACTCTAGCCTAGGTGACAGAGTGAGACCTTGCCTCTTAAAGAAAACAAAACAAAACAAAACAAAACAAAACCAGCCAACCAACAAGCAAAGAGCTAGAATTCATCACCTCACCCAAGCCCCAAAGGCCTTAGGCCTATAATCCTCTCAGTTTGTACCAATGTCATTCTTCCAGCTGCCCAAACCAAAAACCTAGAAGTTGTCCTCAACTCTTTGCTCTCCACTATCCCCATATCCAATCAAACACCACTTCTGGCTTGGCGCCATGGCTTATGCCTATAATCCCAGCACCTTGGGAGGCCAAGGCAGGTGAATCACAAGGTCAGGAGTTCAAGACCAGCCTGGCCAACATGGTAAAACACTAAAAATACAAAAAAAAAAAAAAAGGCCAAGTGTGGTGGCTCACACCTGTAATCCCAGCTACTCAGGAGGCTGAGGCAGGAGAATCGCTTGAACCCAGGAGGTAGAGGTTGTGGTGAGCTGAGATCGTGCCACTGCACTCCAGCCCAGGTGACAGAGCGAGATGCTGTCTCAAAAACAAAACAAAACAAAACACAACAACAAAAAAGTCACCTCTTATGTATTTTCCCTCCTAAACATTTCTACAATCCATCCACACCTCTTCATCTCCACTGTCACTATTACCCTGTTCTCACGCCCACCTTTGTGCATGCTGATTTTGAGGTATCAGTGGGACATTGAGGTGGACATTTAGGTCTGGAGTGTGAAGGAGACAGACACTAAAGTATGAGGAATCCAGATCACGGGTGGAGTCCATGGAGCTGGGGAGAGGGGCAAAATGGATCAGGATGAAGTTGTTTTAGGAGAGGAACAAGAGGTTGTCAGGAAAGTGGAAGTGGTTGGCAATGTTTCATGCTATAGATGGGTTATGTAAAATGAAGGCTGAAACCCCGGGAAGGCTGACAACATGTGGTCTCTGGGTACTGTATTAGTTCTCTATTGCTGCCATAACAAATATCACAAACAGCAGTTTAAAACCACAAATGCAGCCAGGCGTGGTGGCTCCCACCTGTAATCCTAGCACTTTGGGAGGCCAAGGTGGGTGGATCACTTGAGGTCAGGAGTTCAAGACCAGCCTGGCCAACATGGTAAAACCCCATCTCTACAAAAAATACAAAAATTAGCCAGGCATGGTGGCACGCACCTGTAATCCCAGTTACTTGGGAGATTGAGACAAGAGAATTGCTTGAACCCAGGAAGCAGAGGTTGCAGTGAGCCAAGATCATGCCACTGCACTCCATCCTGGGCAACAGAGCCATACTCCATCTCAAAATAATAAATAAATAAATAATACCACACATGTGGCCAGGTGCAGTGGCTCGTGCCTATGATCCCAGCACTTTGGGAAGGTGAGGTGGGATTGCCTGAGCCCAGGAGTTCAACACCAGCCTGGGCAACATGGTGAGACCCCATCGCTACAAAAAATACAAAAATTAGCCAGGCATGGTGGTGGAGGCCTATAGTCCCAGCTACTTGGGAGGCTAGGGTAAGAGGGCTACTTGAGTTTGGGAGGTCAAGGCTGCAGTGAGCTGTGATCATACCACTGCACTCCAGCCTGGATGAGAGAGCAAGATCCTGTCTATTAAACACATGCGCGCACACACACACACACACACACATTTTCTTTCTCATAGCATCTGTAGGTCAAAGTCTAGCATGCCATGGATAGATTATTTGCTCAGGAACTCACTGAACTAAAATAAAGGTGCTGGCTGGCTAGGGTTCTCATTTAGGTCTCAGCATCCACTTCCAAGCTCAGTGGTTATTGACCAAATTATTTCCTTCTCGTGCTTTCCATGCTGCCCCCACCATCTTCAAGCCAGCAACAGCAGGTGAGCTCTTCTCTCGCTCGGAATCCCTCTGACCTCCTCTTCTGCTTGATGGGCTTGTGGGATTGTGTTGGGGCGGCCCAGGGAACCCAGGAAAATCTATTTTAGGTAAACTGAATAGTAGCCGTGACCATACCTACAAAATCCCTTTTGCCATGCAATGCAACATAATTATGGCAGTAAACACCTGCGGATGAAGGTCATGCCTACCATGGACTCTGCTAGAGGATTTTGATTAAATTAGTGGGGTGGTGAAAGCCATATTGTGGTGGTTTGGGAAGTAAAGAAAAAGTCAGTGGTGGCTGGCGGCAGGAGGACTTGGGAGGATGGGTGGGAGGGCTTCCTGGTGTGTCCCCTCTGTGCATCTTGGGTTCTATGGGCCGCCCAGACTGACCTCATCCCAACATGGTGAAGCTCCATCTCTACTAAAAATACAAGAATTAGCCAGGCATGGTGGTGCATGCCTGTAATCCCAGCTACTCAGGAAGCTGAGGCACGAGAATCGCCTGAACATGGGAGGTGGAGGTTGCAGTGAGCTGAGATTGAGCCACTTCACTCCTGCCTGGGTGACAAAGTGAGACTCTGTCTCAAAAAGAAAAAAAAAAAAATGCTACTACTAATAATAAATAAAGTGCCTCAGGGCCAGGCATGGTGACTCATGCCTGTAATCCCAGCACTTTGGGAAGCCAAGGTGGGAGGATGGCCTTGAGACCTCTCCAAAAAAAACAAAAGACAAAACAATTAAGAAAAGAAGAAAATAAAGTGCATCCGACCTTTTGTTTCCCTACTGAAGCGGCCCAGCGCTGCCTCGCCGCATGTGGAATAAACCCAGGCTCTTGTCCCAGCCTCAGGCCTCTGTGATGGGGCCGCAGCCCGCCTCCCCACCAGCCTCCTGTCCTCTCTCGGCACCGAGGCTGCCATGACCCTCTTCCCGTTCTAGGAACAGCATCGAGCTCATTTTCGCCTGAGGACTTTGCACTCCTGTCCTGTCGCCTTGGAACACTCTTCTCCCAGGTCTTCGCAGGACCGGCTCCTTCTTGTCTTTCAGTCTCTGCTTCAACGTTGTCACCTCTCAGAGAGACTTTTGCTGATCACCTGACTAAAAGTATCCCGCCCGTCACTCTCCAACCGTAGCAGTGCCTTCTAGCTTATTTATGAATGTTGTTGCTATTGTCTGCCACGGCCCACTGCAATGCCGGGCCCACAAGGGTGGGGACCCTGTCTAACTTCTTCGCCACTATTCCCAATACCCTAGAAAAGGGCCTGATCAAAGCTGGCACTAAAATATGAATAAGGAGGCCGGGTGCAGTCGCTCATGCCTGTAATCTCAGCACTTTGGGAGGCCAAGGTGGGAGGATGAGCCCAGAAGTTTGAGACCAGCCTGGGCAACATGGTGAAACCCTGTCTCTACGAAAAAATTTTAAAACTTAGCCGGGCAGGCTGGGCGCGGTGGCTCACGCCTGTAATCCCACCACTTTGGGAGGCCGAGGTGTGCGGATCACCTGAGGTCGGGAGTTCAAGACCAGCCTGGCGAACATGGTGAAACACCATCTCTACTAAAAATACAAAAATTAGCTGGGTATGGTGGCACGTGCCTGTAGTCTCAGCTACTTGGGAGGCTGAGACTGAGGCATGAGAATTTCTTGAGCTTGGGAGGTGGAGGTTGTAGTGAGTTGAGATTGTGCCACTGCACTCCAGCCTGAGTGACAGAGCAAGACTCCATCTCAAAAAAAAAAAAAAAAAAAGATATGAACAAGGATTTCAAGCAATAACTCTGGAGCACAGCCTCTGGTTCTGGGCCCTGAGATTGCAGAGGCACGATGGAGAGTCCAGTGATGTCCAAGGATACACGGAGTTGAGATGAAGCCTTCGACCCACCACACTCACAGCAGTTACGGGGCCGTCCCTGCACACCGGCGTGGGCATATACTGCAGAAATTTCCAGAGATACCGCATTCCGCACATCTCACGCCAGATTCGTATTTCCTCCCCAGAAATTCCCTGTGGGCGCTGGCCTTGAACTCCTGGAAGTCACCTGGTCCTTGGTGGTACGGTTGTGTCTGTCAACCCTGGGCTTCGAAAGTTTGTCTAGTCAAATCAACAGGTTCCTTCCACGAAGAAAGGCAAAGATGCATGCATGTGTCTTTTTGTGAAGTATGTGTGTGTCTGAGTCAGGCATCTGCCCACCTTGAGGGTAACCTCAGCATTTCCTTTCAGCCCTTCCACTCAGCCGTGGCCAGCAGAACTTTGTGTGTTTTCTGGAGAAAAGCTGAGTAAATGGTTTTGCCATGGGCGGGACGCTGACTGCTCTTCCTCCTCACCCTGGCCCTTTATATATCTCCAGGCAGCCATGGCGAACACATCTGGCTCCAGAAGCCCCCACCGAAGCTGGCCTTGCTCTCTCTCGCCATGGCCTCTCACTCAGGTATTGCTCGCTGGTCCTGGTGCTTCCGGAGTCTTGGGCATCATCTTATCTCACCAGGAAGATTCTGGAAGCACTGCCCCCAGGGTTGGCTCAGCACAGCTGCAGGGGGAGCCGGGGTGGACAGGGGTGTGTGATGCATGCGTTCACGGCATCATTCTCTCTCCAGGCCCCGCGACGTCCGTGCTGTTTCTGCTCTGCTGCCTGGGAGGCTGGCTGACCTCCCACACGTTGCCCGTCCATTTCCTACAACCAAGTGATATACAGAAAATAGTCAAGGAATTACAGTCCCTCTCGAAGATGCTTTTGAAAGATGTGAGTGCCCTAGAGATTTCTTTTCTAAACGATTTCTTTAAAATGCCTTCCATTGCCCTCCGAAGAGGTTCATCTCTCCAGACCTGAAGCCAGGGCTGTGGCTATGCCAGGAAGGGATGGGGGCAACTAGACAGGAGAAGATGGCTTTTTTTTTTTTGAGATAGAGTCTCACTCTGTCGCCCAGGCTGGAGTGCAGTGGTGCGATCTTGGCTCACTGCAACCTCTGCTTCATGGGTTCAAGCGATTCTCCTGCGTCAGCTTCCCAAGTAGCTGGGAGTACAGGCACATGCCACCATGCCTGGCTAATTTTCATATTTTTAGTAGAGACAGAATTTCTGCATGTTGGCCAGGCTGGTCTCGAACTCCTGACCTCAAGTGATCCGTTTGCCTCGGCCTCCCAAAGTGCTGGGATTACAGGCGTGAGCCACTGTGCCCAGCCAAGATAGCTTTGATCAAACAAATACCCAAACTTGGAAGCAATTCATGAAATTGGCATTACCCTTCTCATCTGCCTTGGCATTTAGACTTTAGCCTTGGCTTTTATAAAAGGCAGAGGTTGTTACCAACCAAAGATGACTGGGCAGTTCAGGTTGATGAGGTGCTGCTGGCAATTTGGTCTGACTCAAAAACGGTTAGTCCTTAGAAAGAGGGCAGGGAGGGAGTGGTCTAGACTCCTTGGTTTGTTTGGGAAAACTCTCCCCTGTATCTTGGATGCCTTTCTGGACAAGCCTAACACTGTCCTCTCTAAGTGGGGCGTACGTGGCTTTAACACAGAGTACAAAGGGCGGAAGTCCATGGAAAGCCAGATGTGCTACAGTTTCCACCGCCCTGAGCACGTGAGAGTGGGTTCTGGAAGGCTGGGGAGGCCTCAGCTGGATGGGTCAGTGGTTCTGAGCACAGGCTTCAGGACTGCAGCCACCTAAGCTCTAGTTTCATCTGGAAATGAGGTTACTGATGGCACAGCCTCATAGGGTTGTGACATTGATCAGATAAATATATCCACCAGGCGGGTTGTGGAGGAAGCATGCAAACATTCACTGTCAGGACTTGCAGCTGTTATTGCAAACCCAACACTCACCATTTCTCCTCATTCCACAGGTGAAGGAAGACAAGGGGGTGCTCGTGTCCCAGAATTACACGCTGCCGTGTCTCACCCCTGACGCCCAGCCGCCAAACATCATCCACAGCCCAGCCATCCGGGCATATCTCAAGACAATCAGACAGTTAGACAACAGATCTGTTATTGATGAGATCATAGAGCACCTCGACAAACTCATATTTCAAGATGCACCAGAAACAAACATTTCTGTGCCAACAGACACCCATGAATGTAAACGCTTCATCCTGACTATTTCTCAACAGTTTTCAGAGTGCATGGACCTTGCATTAAAATCGTTGACTTCTGGAGCCCAGCAGGCCACCACTTAAGGCCATCTCTTCCTTTTGGAGTGGCAGGAACTTAAGGAGCCTTAAAAAGATGACTGACAGCTAAGTGTGGGAACTCTGCCGTGATTCCTTAAGTACATTTTTCCAGTGAATAATCTCAGTGACCCCTCAGATGGGCTAGTCCTGGGAGGGCTGAGATGTAAATTTGTGAATTACCTTGAAAAACATTAGGTTATAGTTATTAGTCTTGGTATTTATGGAATGTTTTTCTTCAGGAGGCTTAAATCTTACTTATGATACCTTTGTGAGGGCAGGAGGTGGCAGCTATGTTAATTTATTGATATTTATTGTACTAAAAGTTGTTAATGCTCCCTGCGGGAGCCCTTGGAATCTATTTAATAAATTATATTGAATTTTTCTCATAATCTGTGATGCGTTTTGTGAGGGGCTTGACATTGGCAAATGGGACTCCAAGCTGGGTAGCGTTGTGGCAGAGGGTGGATGGACATGCTCTAGAAAGAGGTATCACTTTACCACTGTCATTTCTTCCCACTGGACAGGCTCAATAAAAAATAGTGACCCTGAGCTGGGCACTGTGGCTCACACCTGTAATCCCAGCACTTTAGGAGATAAAGGCAGGAGGATCACTTGAGCCCAGGAGTTCAAGACCAGCCTGGGCAACATAGTGAGACCCCATCTCTATTTCAAAAAAGAAAGAGAAAAAAACTAATGACTTTGGCGGGGCATGGTGGCTAGTTTCGTCTGGAAATGGCAATGGTGATGGCCACAGCCTCATAGAGTTGTAACGCAGATCAGATATCCCAGCACTCTGGGAAGCTAAGGCTGGAGGACTGCTTGAGGCCAGAGTTTCGGACCAGCCTGGGCAACATAGCAAGATCCCATCTCTAAAAAAACCAAACCAAACCAAAACAAAAAAAATCAGCGTGGTGGTGTGCTACTTGGGAGGCTGAGGTGGGAGGATTGCTTGAGCCCAGGAGTTCGAGGCTGCAGTGAGCTAGGACAGCACCACTCACTCCAGAGACAAAGCAAGATCCCAGGAGCAATAAATACTCATTGAGCATTTTCTCTATGCCAGGTCTCTTTTCATAGGTAGGGAAACTGAGGCAGGAAGTCAGTCACTTGCTCAAGGCCACACAGCTATTAAGGAGTGGAACCCAGATTCCAGCCTGGGCTTCTCTGCCTTACCCAGCCTTTGACCCTCCCTGGGCAGTGGCTGGGTCTCACAGGCCCTCGATGCCAGGTGCGGCATGCAGCAATCTTACAGTGTCCTCTGCACAACTCCCCACTGGGTTTTCAGGGCCTAGGGGACTTCTTCATAGCCAGGTCCAAAGATTTTGTCATTTGAATCATTGTTAAGTCCACAACTATTAAGGCTTCTTAGAGATCACCCAGACTCAAAGCCTGGTCTCTGGGCCAGCAGCAGCAGCAACAGCCCGTGGCAACATTTTAGAAATGTCAATCATCGGGTCTCACCCCAGACCTACTGAATCGGAAGGTCTGTGGGTGGAGACAGCAATCTGGGCTTTGTGGAGCCCTCCAGGGGATTCTAACACACCCTAGAGTTTGAGAACCACTAATCTTGAGTCAACCAGCACCTACATCTTCATCTTATCTCTGGGGAAACTGAGGACCGAAGAGGTGTGGTTTGCACAAGTTCACACTCAAGGGGGGATGTGGTTAGGACTCTGAGACATGCACTTCAGTCTTGGACTTCTCATTTTTATTCTCGCAGGTATTTCTAGTGCAGTCCCCTAGCAGGCTTTTTTTTTTTTTTTTTTTTTTTTTTTTTTTTTCCTTTAGAGAGTTTCACTCTGTCACCTAGGCTAGAGTGCAGTGGTGCGATCTCGGCTCACTGCAACCTCCGCCTTCCAGGTTCAAGCGATTCTCCTGCCTCAGCCTCCCAAGTAGCTGGGATTACAGGCGCCTGCCACCACGTCTGGCTAATTTTTTGTATTTTTAGTATTTTAGTAGAGACGGGGTTTCACCATGTTAGCCAAGATGGTCTCGATCTCCTGACCTTGTGATCTGCCCGCCTCGGCCTCCCAAAGTGCCGGGATTACAGGTGTGAGCAACTGCGCCCAGCCCCATAGCAGGCATTTAAGCCCCCAGATATCCTAGTATCCAAGGATGAGGTTTTGGTGATCTTTCCAGAAAATATCCAGTGTGGTGGACTTCTCTCTCTCTTTTTGACTGTCCTACATCAGAACACCTTTACATATATTAGAAAAATTATCGCCGGGCGCGGTGGCTCACGCCTGTAATCCCAGCACTTTGGGAGGCCGAGACGGGCGGATCACGAGGTCAGGAGATCGAGACCATCCTGGCTAACACAGCGAAACCCCATCTCTACTAAAAAATACAAAAACTAGCCGGGCGAGGTGGCGGGCGCCTGTAGTCCCAGCTACTCGGGAGGTTGAGGCAGGAGAATGGCGGGAACCCGGGAGGCGGAGCTTGCAGTGAGCCGAGATCACGCCACTGCACTCCAGCCTGGGCGACAGAGCGAGACTCCGTCTCAAAAAAAAAAAGAAAAATTATCTAAAACTGGGAAATAAGGCAAAAAGATGACCATATGTCCTTTCAAAGAATAAGGTAAATACCCACAAGTTCACTGTGATATAAACAAATAGTTGGGCCAGGCGTGGTGGCTCACACCTGTAATTCCAGCACTTTGGGAGGCTGAGTCAGGAGCATCACTTGAGGTCAGGAGTTCAAGACCAGCCTGGGCAACATGGCGAAATCCCATCTCCACAAAAAATACAAAAACGAGCTGAGTGTAGTGGCGCACTCCTGTAATCCCAGCTACTTGGGAGGCTGAGGTACGACTTGCTTGAATCTGGGAGGCAGAGGTTGCAGTGAGCCAAGATGGTGTCACTATACTCCAGCCTGGGCAACAGAGTGAGACCCTGTCTCAAAAAAAAAACCAACAAAAAATAAAGATAAAAATAAATGGTTGACGAGATAAATAAATGAGGGAAAAGGGACAAATGTTCCTTATAGAATTCTAATTAATAAATCATAAATACAGAGGAATGAGGGAAATAGAAAATCATCATTAGAACACCACAGTAATAACGGCCTCAGGCAGGATCCACAGAAGAATGCTGAAGTTAGCAGGTGAAACTTTAAGGAGAAACAGGAAATCTACACAGCCTTAAACAATCTCCCTTCAAACCATGGTGGTGGCTTTAACATATGTCCACAAAAATTCGATATTCCTCCCTCCAGGAGGGGGGGCTTAACTCCCCTCCCCTTGAAGGTGGGTGGGACTTGGTGACTCCCTTCTAAAGAACAGACCACAAGAGGGAATACAGCAAGGCGGCAAGGCGGCAGGGGAGATGCGTCTCAGACATCACCTCTGGCCAGTGAGCCCACGCTTGGATAGCACGCGCCCTTCACGTGACACAATGAGAAGGTACCTCCCTCACTTCTCTGTGATTTTCCAAAATCACCATCCCAGTCCCATCAGGAGAAAACACCTGCCAAGCCCAACCTAGGGTCATTTCACAAAATCCTTGACTGGCACTCTTCAAAAGTGTCAGGGTCATGAAAAACAAGGAAAGGCTAAGAAAATGGTCACAGATTGAAGACTAAGGAGATACAAGCACTAAGCACAATGTGGGAACCTGGACTGACTCTTGGACCAGAAAACAGACATTAGTGAAAAAAATGGAGAAAATTCAGATAGCTGGTAGTTTAGTGATTTATATCCGATGAGTGTTAATCGCTTAGTTTTTATAAACATGCACAGTTATTTAAGAAATTCCCACTTAGGGGAAGCTGGGTGAAGGGTATACGGGAAGTCTCTGTACTGTCTATAACTTTTCTATAAATCTAAAATTACTTAAAACAGGTCAGGTGCTATGGCTCACCCCTGTAATCCCAGTGCTTTAGGAGGCTGAGGTGGGTGGATCACTTGAGTGATCAGCTCGAGACCAGCCTGGGCAACATGGCAAGATTTCAACATGGTGAGAGCCCACCTCTTTTTTTTTTTTTTTTT